CCTTACCCGGAGCTGAGTCTCCTGCCTCTCACAGCTAAAGCTGCTCCTGCGGCACCCCCACGCACGTACTAAACCTCCGGGGCAGGGGGCGAAGCGTAGTACAGATTAGCACTTTCCTTGTTTCCCGGAGCTGAAGGGACCTTCCAGAGCCCTTTCGGGAGACCGGTGTGCTTGGGGAAACGTCACTTAGGAGAAGACTTTGCCTCCTGGCACAGCTTTTGGTCGGGGCAGCAAAGAGGACAAAAGAGTCAACTCCCGGCCTGAGTTAGCCTTGCATGGAGATGTTTGACTGAAGCATAGGAGACCCAATAAAGCCCCTCTGCAAATCATTTTCCAGAGGGCTTTTCCCAAACCGTCTCCCTTCCTGTAGAAGTGTATAGATTTGGCAGTTGAAACTGTGGGAATTGAAAGTCTGGTAACTAATCCATAACTTTCTATTGTTTTTTACAGATAACTGATCTTAATGCAGTTTCTCCAGAACTGTTTCCATGAATAGAATTCCATTGGATCCCTTACTCTGAGGTGGCATTTCATACCCATTCACGAGGCATCAGCAAAAATGAATAATAAAATAAGTTACTTATTAAACACTATTAGGTGCATGCATAGGTATGGTTCTGTGCTCACTCCCAAATCTTCAGCCACAACAAGAAAACACGCTTTATGGATTAGCAAAAACCGGGATCCCTTGGGAAATGTGAACTTGAGGAAACAATGTTTAAATATTTTTTCTTCTCTGCATGGATCGTCTCTTCGACTGCTCTCTCAAAAGACAGATGTTTTTAGCACAGGCACACAGGTTTTGGTGAGTGAGGAGCCTTCCCAGAGCTCCTTGGAAGCTGAAAAGTTGGATGATTCTGGGAGTGAAGTAAAACATGTGATGGGCTCCAGTGACCCATTCTTTCACAGTCTCCAGAAGTGCACCTGCCCCTGCGATGCACTGGACTTGGCTGTAGAGTCTGCTGTTTCCATCAGGCACTACACAAACTGCCTGACCACGGCCTGGAGGCTCTTCAAGCACCTGTCTGAGGAGCAGCAGCGCTATGAGAAGCAGCTGATCTTTGAGCACCCAGGGTTTGCCAGGCTGTGCCAGCAGCTGCTGCAGACCTCCCGCAGGATGACACGGAGGGACCTGGTGTTCAGCCTGCATGCCATGGTCAACCTGGGTGTGCCCCAGAACACCCTCCTGGTACAGACTTTGGTCAGAGTGTGCCAAGTAAGTATGAAAATTGGTCTCCAAAATTCGGGTAGTTCTGGGAGGCTGTGCAGCATCCGGGAGTGGTGACTTACACCTCTAGTTTAGTGTGATGTTCTGTGGAAATAAGGTTCCCATAGTTCGTTTGTGTATACTTTTAATTTTATTCAGTTTTGAAACCATTGCCTGATTTCAGTTTTAAAATAGAGGAGAAGTCTCAAATCCCTTTCAAACCAACTAAATTTGACTGATGTGAGATCCTGTGGGTCACAACAGATCTAAAGCTTATGAATTGAATTCTGAGGGGAAAGAGAAAATGGCAGGTACAGTTTAACAGTGGTGAGTTTTTCTATTCTGAAGCTTTTGCTGGTTTGAAGTAATCTGACATTGTGAAAACTTTAACAGGAGAAGCTCAATCAACTCGACAACCGATGTATCTCTGTTCTGGCAACTACTTTAGCAGGGATGGACAAAGACAAGAATGTGAGCGCTCTTCAAGCTGGATTACAGTGAGAAAACTACATCTTTCACATGCTCTATGTGTTTAAATGTTGTTTGAATATATATCTGTTAGAAATCATTAAGGGAATGTCTGTGCATAAAATACATACTGTGGTTTTAGGATTTAAATGATCACATGAAATAAGACTCTGATTTTTGGCATTGTCTTTGCAGTTTCAAGCAGGAGGGCTTCTAATGGTACAGGGTGCTAGGCTGGCCCACAGGGGATTGTGTTCTGACTGCAGCTCCACCAGTGTGGGTTCTTTGTGATGTTGATCAAGTCACTTCCATATCTATCCCTCTTTTATCTGTGTTTAGACAGGAGGCAATGAGACTAGCTTACTTTGTGAAGTAGTTTGATTTGTCATGATGAAAAATGCTGTTTAACAGCCAGGCAATATTTTCTTTTAATTTAGTAAGCAAAATTTAAGATGAAGACTAGTTGCATCCAGTAAGTCTTAATTGTACTTCTTACAGTACTTCATCAGAATAACTTCTTTGGCTGTAGTGACTTTTTTTTCTGGGCCAGTGTGATTTGTGTGGGTAACTAATCTGCGCACTCCCATGAGATTGTTCTTACTGAGGCTATCACAAAACTTGTCATTAGTACTTTTGATCCTGTATCAGGTCCTACTTTGAGAAGGTGGATGTGGTATGCAAAATCCAAGTTCTCCTGGCAGCTCAGATGCACAGTTCTTTTAAGTTGTTGGAAAGCAGGAAACCCACCCAGAGCTCCCCCTCTGTCTCGATGTCTGGAGCTTTTGCTCATTTGCAGGGATGAATTTCAGAGCAGTGCATTGGCTTGGAAAGGGACACTTCATATTTTTGTAGCTGTGGAAGTATATTTAAAGGTGATTCAGAAATAACAATTACAATACCTGCCACTGAGTGAGAAAAGGAAGGACTAGGAATTCAGAACTCCTTCATCTTGTGCTTATGATTGCTTTGTGTTGTGATGTCCCCTTGTTCTTGCACCCCAAAGCACTGCTTGTGTGTTTTCTTCCCTTCACTTGCCCCAAGTTGTTGTCAGTATCTCTTCTTCAGTTTCCTGGATGTTTCAGAACTTGCCTGCACATGGATGATTCTGAGATTAAAATGTGCATTTTTTTTTCTGCAAAAGAGTGTTCATTCCTTGAGGCTTAATAGCACTCACATCTGCACAGTCACGTGTGCAGTCTGGTCAGGTGCCTCTGCCATTAAGATGTCAACAACAACACTCATCTATCAGGGTAACACTGAAAAAGCATTTATAATTATTTCCATGTGCAAAATATCTGTGCTGCAGCTACATCCTGTAGAGTTATGCCAGCATTTCCAAAAAAAGGAGGTAGGAGGGGAGCAGGGAACTGCAGCTTTAACTTGGGAGTACATCAGTGAGGAAGAATGAGGGTACTTACCTGTTTCTGCTGAAATGAGGAAAGCTCTATTAAACAGTCACTCTCTAACTCATGGCCTTGTGTGTGTATCTTCATCAGGTTACTAGTGGAGCAGCGAATTTCAGGTATCAGCGACATCTTTATTCTGCAAAACCTGATGAAATGCATGGGAAAAGATATTCCGGTCTTTCTGAAAAAGAAATTGGAGGTAAATTTAGTTGAAAATTCACTTCCACAGAGCCTGTGTTCTTGCTTTGTTTATAAATTGTGTATTGTTCTTTGCAGACACTCAGAGAGGAAATATAATAACTGTATTTGGTAGATGAATCATAGTCCAGCTGCATCTGCAGGGAGAACTTCAATTTGGAGGCTGGGAACAAAAGGAATTGAGGCAGTAAAATAGCAGTGCTCCTGCCTCTTGTTTGGATTGGCCACATGGTCTAGTCATCACTAGTCATGTGATGGGGCTGTGTGCAGTAATGGTACAGGGCAGGAGGACTGATGGGAGTGAGATGCCAGAACTCCTCTAGCTCATGCCCTTATCTTTCTGTGTATGTGAGAGGTCCCCTTAGAAATGCAGTGGTTGGGAGCAGGCTGTGGGTTTTATGGCAGGGCATACTGGGTTTTGTTAGTATGTTAGTATATTAAGGGGTTGGAATAGACCTTGGAGATCACCTAGTCCCAGCCTCCCTTGTTGTGGGCAGGGAGACCTCCCGCTAGATTGTCCCCTGATTTAAAAACCCTTTTTGAAACCTTCTTACAGACAGGGCCTGCTGGTGCTTTCATCACATAACCGAAGGGCTCTGAGGTCAGAGTTTGTAATAGCATTCATGAAACATCATAAAACTGAGAGGAGAGTAACATTTGCACTTGTTAACTGAAAGGAGCTCTTAATTTTCTGAGCCTTCAGGGTGCTATTTTTTTGCAGTGTAATTTCTATCATAGATGCATTTTGTGCTTAACCTCTGATATGCATGCAGTTACAACATTGTATTTTAGTAGCCAATATACTTTGTAGTCTCCTTTTTACTGTCATTTCCTTCAATCTAATTACTGCTTCAATAAATGAAATCCCTAATGTGGCATCACTGCAGACCTGTGCCTCAGTCACAGTTGTAGCTGGGTATTTGTATTAAAGATACACCACTTGGTGTACTGTTGGATCACTGGGGGGGATTGCAGCTTTTATGCACATACAAAGCAGTAATTGGAGTACTGTCAAATAAGTTCACTGTGCCAGTTTTATTTCTGCAACTTTTTAAAGAGTTGGTAGAAGATATGTGTTCACAGTGTTTGGAAACAAGTTTTACTGAGACGTCTTTCTTTTAAAATAGCCATATAAAGGCAAATTGCTGGAACTTGCATAGTGACACCTCTCTAGAGCACTTGAGCTGCTATCATTGTGTATTAAGAAATTGAGAGTAGTTACTGGATGCTTTTGCTCTTTTTTTGCTTATTTTTCTTTCATCTAAATCTGAACTAAAGAATTTGGTAAAGTTTTGGTGAAAATGTCTTCACCAGAAAGCAGTGATAATGTACTTGAAGAACAAAGGGTTTAACAAACTCTAATTCACTTTAGGTGGCAGTTTTGAAAGAAATAGACAATCTGACTTTTCCGAATGCTCTGCGTATGGTTATGGCTCTTGTTGCAATGAATTATTGTTCCATTCCAATCCTGAATGCCTGCAGTAAAACAATCCAGGGTAAGAAAAAAATATGTTTATTTAATTTCCCTTCCTTATACCAAATTCTTCCTAATTACTGTCTCATGTCCTTTTTCTGATTTCCTTTAAAACTCAGGAAACGTCTTTGTTTTACAGGATATTATAGTTATGTGGAGCCATTTCACAAGCAACAAGACAGAAAATTACTCATCAATAATGAAAGCAAATTGCTCTTGTCATCTCTGCCATTCTTAACATTTACCTGAATTACATGTTTTGCTTCACATTTTTCTGTACACAGGATTTAGGAAAAAGAATTGAATTCTAGCAATAAAAAATGGATTTCAATTAAAATTTTAAAACAAATCTGAATTGGACAACTTACAGGATAGATTGGTGGGTTAGTGTGATTAGTTTGTAAACTAAAGGGAAAATAGTGTTTCCCTGATTCACTGGATTTAATTATTGAGTACTGCTTAATAACTAACCTCATGCTATAGTCTAGAAAAACACTAAATGAAAGCTAATGCTTTCCCCTCTTTCCATAACTTTACAGTACATTGTTTATACATGGTTGGTATGTATTGATTCACATTTAAAATACATATGAATTTGTGTCTCAAAAGACCTTAAGATAGAAAAATAGCATTCTTAACATAAATGATCCAGAAGTGTTTAGGCTGCTTGTACAGCCTTTATTTGTCCTGACTGTTCATCTGTGTTAGATGCAGTGTTTAATTACACATACTGGCTGGTCCCATAGAGCTTTCACCACACTCAGTACACAGCCCAGGTGGCATACATGGGTTGAGCAGCTACTTTCCTCTGCATTTTTTTAGTGCATGCTGAAAATCAAGAATGGTGGAACAGAAGATGTCCTGGGAACACAGTCTTCTTGCTTATTTTGTTAATTTGTCCCATTTTGCTGATTTATGTATTCTAGCTTAATTCTGTCTCAGTTTGGTTTCTTCTGTCTCCAGTTTCTTCGTGTATTTTAGCTCAGTTGAGCTTTCCCTGACTAGTCTATGTCTGTTCCACAGTTTTGTAGCAGATTTTTTTCCCTTCCTCCCTCCCTTAACCAAACTGTTCCCACAACGTCTCCAACATACGGCTCCCATTGCTTTGTATCACTTGTCCTTTTTTGATCTCCTGTTACAGAAAATGTCCATGACGCTCCATTTCGGCAGTTAATCCACATTCTGGAAGCTTGTCACACTCTCCAGTACCGAAATGTAAAACTGTTTTCAGCATTAGCAGACTATGTTAATTCTACTGCCTGCATTTGGGACAAAAGACAGGTGAGTTTGAGACCAAATAATTTATAGTGATACTAATGGAGTACCACTTTGGAGAACAGATTTTTTAGGAATACCAGTCTGATGAAGTTGATAGTTAAATTTTTAAAATGCTTTTCTATTAATTGAGAAGTAAAGAAACAAAAGTAGTGTCATGATTTGGAAAATTTGCTTTCATTAAAAATGCCTTTTATGAGATCAACAGGTAGGATCTACTTCACTAGTTTATTGACCTATAAAACTACCTTTTTTTTAGATTGTCCGTTTTCTTTCTGCTTTCGAGACACTTGGTATTCGGCCGAGTGAGTTGATGGATGTTTTTGCTGAGAAGGTGACAGAAGATCCCGAATTCCTTAACTGGAAAAACCTTGCAATTGTTCTCCGAGCGTATTCACGACTCAACCATATTCCCAGAGGCCAAAAGGATCTGTAGGTTTTCTTTTAGAATGCCTGTTAATACGTTATGTAGTCATTGTAGAGTAGTGTATGGCAACTAGTATTTGATTTCAGCTGTGAAAGGGTTTATAATCCTGTTTCATTAATCTGCAAGGTAAATTTGCTGTGCCCTTTTACATTTTTTCTATATAGGATGCTTTTTCTCTAACTGAAAACGCAGACCTTGGTTCTAGACTGACCAGGCTACTCAATATGTTAATAGGTAGCTATATCCTCAAAGTAAGAATTGAATACTAATGTTGGATAACACAAAATATGATTATACAAGATAAATATTTCTAACTTGTATTTTTGTTTGAAATGCATATTTTATATAGTCTTATTTGTATATTTAGATACTTTTCTTCTGCTTTTGGAAAAGGTTTTTAGAGACTCTTCATAGCTGCTTGAATAAGTGCCTGCCTCAGATTTCCAACACAGAACTGCTGAAGGCAGTGTATTCACTTTGCGTGTTAGGATACCTTCCTCAGCAGGCACTTGATGAGCTGCTGCAAAAGGACCACAAGGATGAACTTATACTGCCAGGTCAGACCCTACTTTGTCATGTTCTTGTTTTAAAAGAGATAGTCTATCTGAGTACATAATTCACTGTAATTGTATTAAAAGATTAGAAATCAGAGAAAGCAGACATGATTAATACTAGATTTGGAGTCCTAAAGACAAAGCTAACATAATGATTGTGATCTGTGTGATTTGGCTTTGCACTGGGGCATAAGGCTCATTGTCTTGGGCCTCATGGTGGCAACAGTTTAGTAGCAGGTGTGCAAATAGAGAGAGGTGAAGACAGGATTTGTGGAAATGGTAGAAACATGTAAGAGCCAACGGTGTTCTAGTTAATAGATGTTCAGGCATTTTTAAAAATGTAGGAAGTCTTAGCCTTTGAAAACTAACTTTAGTACCTGGAATCATGAGTAAAAGTGGGGTTTGGGCTGCCCTAAGTTATGATGAGGTACTCTGAATGGTTTGTAGAAGAACTTGGTTTCCACACTGCAGTTTTGTGCACCTAGTAGAGCAGTTCAGTAGAGTAGGAATTAAGTGTAAACACTGTGTCTTCCTGTTGAGTCTGCAGTGTCTGGACCTGAAAGCTGTACAGCTGTAGCTGCTCAGGGTTTGCACAGTTTAATGCTCTTTAAGTACAGATTCAAAGTTTTGGCCAAGTCTGATACCCCTTCTTTGGTTTATCAATAGCCTCCTAGTTGTCTGGATTTTATAAATGGTTTTTATGGATGCTCTCCCATAATAACTGACAGTGGTGTACAGTAGAGGGAGAAGACTGCATAGATGGGCAAGGTCCTAGCCATAGACTTTAATATTATAATTAGTGAATTGATGGTGTATTTAACAACACATTGAAGATTCTCAATAATACTCAGTGAAAATCAATTGGGTTTTGCTTCTTATAATGTAATCCACTTGCTGTGCTAGAACAGGCTATAAATAATAATAAAATGAAAAATTCTGTGGGATGATACATTCTATGTAATATTTTTTGTACCCTTTTTCAGATGATCTCTACAAAGATCAAAAGGAAATGATGCTTCGCTGTGTGAAAACATGTATGGAACTTGACAGCCCTTCCTTCACCAGGCCTACATTTGTGCAGGCTGAGAATCCATCCTCATTACTGTCTGTTAATCTCAGAAAGGCTCAAGAGGCACTGATAGAACTTCTGGGAGATGAGAACATGTTTCAGCAAAATGTTCAGCTGCCATATAAATATCATATTGGTATGAAGCTAAATTATTGTCATATTCTTTTTAATATAGATTTAGAATCCCCCAAACAATAAGGTGGTAGTAAATTCACATTGGGTGCAAGGGATTAAAAATGTAATGATTTGAAGACACAGTCTGTAAACAAATGATGTCCTTGATTGATGAGACTACTCTCTAGGATGCTTCTGTTAAATTATTTAAGTCCATTTACTAAAACTTCATGATTTCTCTTATTTTCAAAACTACTTTGGCCTTTTTGTTAAGCATCAGTGAGCAGGTGTTAATTGTACATAAATCCACCATGGCCAAGTGTGTGAGAGAGTTGACATGTTAGTACTAAATCCCATTAGAAACAAAGCCAAACAACAGCCATGTTTGTTCTCTGACTTGTTTCTTCTCTGAAGTTCTGGCTTAAGGTTTGGGTTGTACTTTCATTTATCAAATGGGATATGACCTTTGGCAGGTGATCATTTCAGAAAATTTGGTTTCTTTTATATTTTGATACTGCTGCTTTTTTTTTTTTTTTTTGCCAGCCACCCTGCTCACCAGTTCTTCTGTACTTGTAATTATTTTCTCCCTAAATATTTCTGGTGAGGAATTGGATTACAGGAATATCTGAGTAGGCATGACAGACTGTGATCAAGAGTAGTTTCTTTAAAGGGTGATTTCACTCCCATAAAGTTATATCTACAGTTTCCAAAACAATTTAAGTTGTCTGGAGATGTGCAAGCTATAGCTGTTTATATTGGTTGCAGGGAGGGAAAAGCCATCAGTAATGAGTAAATTAGTAGAGAACAGCAATTAGAAACCAGCAATGATGGTGTCTTAACTTTTTCAAATGAGCTCTTCATTTAAAAACAGTCTGAAGAATTAACGTTTTCAGATAAAAACATTAAGTGTAACCTGTTGCAGAGTTAAATGTTTGTTGTTTTGTTTTCAGATTTTGCAATCACAATGGATTCAGACAGAAAGAAGGTGCTCCCCATAACTGCAACAAATGATCTTCCTGACTCGAGTGTTCAAAGGTGTCTTTTTTGACTGCATATTTTTTCTATCAGGCTAGTCCAGCTGTATTCCATCCAGTTACTTCTTTGGTTCACTGATTTGCAGAATCAAAGTAGATGACTAAATTGTTATTTATGGTCACTGAAATAAGCAAAACCTGCCAGTTCAGAGCAACAATTCATCCAGCTCACTACCTTCTTCTAACAAAGGCTAAAACTTAACATTTCCGAGAAAGAGGCACAATATATCCCAGTAATCATCACAGGAATCTGATTCTCTTGTAATGGATGGCAGGTAGCAATTTTAAAATTTCAAGTATTTTTGTGTCCAATTAAACATTGTTATTCTGTTAAGTCTCAAAAATGTCCATCTCAATGGTATGTTAGGGCAATTAATTCAGCTACTGAAATATATTTTGAATCAAAAGGCTCATCATATCCATATTTTAGGTGATTAATTTAATCTTGTGTAGAAGTATGAGCTCTTGGTAACTGAAGTGGGACATATATCATTTAGGTAATGCTTAAGTAGAATTGGGTCATACTTAACATTTGTATGCTGGATCACTGCACAGCAATGTGTTTTGTACAGTTTGCTTTTTTGGAAAAGGAGAGCTAGTGAATTGTTTAACAGAAACTCATTATTCCAAGGCATTCAGCTTTCCTCACCCTTCCAAGTAGGTTTTTATGGCGGGAAGTAACTGATTCTGAGTATAATTTGCAAAGGATCAAAGTAAATGCAAAATCCGTCCAATTAATGTAGAATATTGAATGATCTATTTCCTTCTCGTTGTGGGAGAAGTGAAGGTCTAAGTACTGAATTCTGCTCTAGGCATCTGGGTAGATGCTGGTACTTGTGTGAAACTCATGGAAGAATAGAGGATCTATATTGCTTAAGTGAAGAAGAAAAAGGACATTTGTGCAGCCCTGATATTTTTGCCTACCACAAAGACAACCCTATATTCTGCAGTATTAACAGACATAATTGAATCATTGTCTTAAAAATGCTTATTCTGCATTTGTACAATGGAATCTGCCCTGCTCTTGGTTGTAGATTGGCATTTCTGTTTGTTCCTCTGTCTGCCTTCTGTGTGGGGACGATGCACCCCCAAGGGAAGCTGGCAATGAAGAAACGACATCTCAATAAACTGGGCTATCATGTGATTCTGGTAAGGAGAGTCCTGTTATTCTCCCTGTTTTGATTCAGTTATCAGCACAGTGATGAGTATGTTTGGTAGAACAGGCCTTGTACCAAATATGAGGGCTCACCAGGAACAGTGGGCCTTCTCCAGAGTGCTAATTGCATATCATTTCTAGTTAGAAGGTTGTGGTGGTGTCGCTAGGGAAGAAAGGACAGAGGAACTCTAAAAGACAAGCTACTACTTACCTTTATCAGTGAAATAAATATAATCATTGTTGTGGGGGGGAAAAATCAAGCCATTGAATTGCTTTTTACCTAAAAGAACCCTATGTGTATTTGGCTTATTTCCCTGATTTTTATAGAGCAAATTATTCATATCAGCTTGTTTTCTAAATACAGAAATTCCCTATGGCATTCCCATCACTGAGCACTTGGTTTGTAGACAGGGTAGTTTGATATAGACAGTAGAAATAATGCACCCTTTCCTTTTACTTTCTTCCAGGTCCTGAACAAGAAGTTTCAGGAAATGACAAATGAAGATGCAGTAGAGTTTTTGAAAAGAAAAATTTATTCAGAAAATGCTTTCCCTTTTTCTGAAGTGACTATGCAGGATAATAATTAAAATAAACTAACAGTTTTGGGTCTCTTGATCTCTCTTTTTTCTGTGTAATTAATATCAGATCTTAATGGAAGAGATAAGTAGTTTTATACACAACTGCTCCAGAATATTACAGATTGAGAAATGTTTGTGGAGTGAACAATGCCTGCTGAGAGTGGAGAGTGTCTTTTGTGAAGTGGGAGCAGATTTTCTTTAGTGGAAGGAAATAATTAATCCAAAACGCATTCTGACATCTATTGCTGTCTTAATTTAATCTGTACTTTGCTTCCCTTCCTGCATGCCCCAAGCCAGTTTTCTGTTGAGCTGGGTCAGGGAGTGGATGTGACTATTTCAAGTGCTGTTGGAACCTGGCCTACAACAAGACACTAGAAGGATTCCCCCCAACCTCCTGTATAGTCCTTTATGCAGAATTATAGCTTGTGAAGCAGTAAATAACTCAGCCTAAAGGGTATATTAAAAGATCCACTTATGTGGAAAGTTTCTGACGAAATCAATCTCACTCAGTTGTCAGAAGTTCAAGCTACTAACGGTTCTGTTAGCTGTATGCTTTTCCTTTTGAACCATTTGCTTCACTGCTACTGTAATATATTTTGATACTTCTCACTACAAGAACAGAGGTCTGTGGTGTCTGTATAAAGTGACTCTTGCCATTTCTGGTGTTAGTGTCTCCACAGCTATTCGAAGAGGTGTTGCAATACTCAGATTTGTTCCTTACACACTGTGATGCATGTCCACTGGCCTGTTATGCAGGGGTGCAATTGATTATGTTGGCAGAGTTCTACAAGTGCAAAGCAACTTTGGGCCTTTGATCTGAAGGAGCAGAGAGAACTGATGCATCTTTTCAATTCTTGGTAACATGTACTGGTAAAATCCATTTGTTCTGGTGCAATTGCTGAAGTACTTACTAAGAGCATGGGAGTGCTAAAACCACATTTGCAAACAACTTCCTTGTTTCTGTGGTGTAATCAGATCTTCAGTCACAATTTTGCTGTACCACAGCCACGGACCCATTGGCATGAAGGGAAGCAGCAATACTTTGTACAGTGACTGTGTGCTACCAAACCGTGGTGCCCTTGCTTCACTTGCTGCGCTACAGGCTCTACATTCTTTGTCTTTCTGAACTAGTATGGACACATGGTTAAGGTATGACAATGATGAGATTAAAAAGGTATTAGAATGATGAGATTAGGTGAAAAGAAACCATGTGCTTAAAAAAAATCACTGCCCAACTTCTTGTGGAACATGGAGATAGAATATGGTGCATATTTATGAAGGAAATGGTGCAACCAAAGCAGCATTGTCACTGCTGTCTGGCATAAAAGGCAGAGATAGCTGTTCAGCATTTCAGTTTCTGAAACACAGCATATGCAGAAAACCAGATTTGATGCAACTGTAAAACTAAACAACCAGTGCAGAGTTCATCTGCCTGACGTGACGAAAAGTTTGTTACGCTGCTTTTTTGGATCTGCTACTGGTCAGTGCTATTCTGTTGTTCTGAGCTGGCCAACTGACTCATGGGCCTAGCCTGCACTGGAGGAGGTCTGAAATAGAGAATCAACCTGGTTGGAAGAAACCTCAAAGATCATTGAGTCCAACCCTAATACTCTCTGCTGGAGGGTCAGGTAGTGCACAGAAAGTACCTGGTGCTGTTCAAAGCTGGAGTCCTGCAAACCAAGCTAATGCAATGTTAGCTGTGGCTCTCACCTGTGCTGGGGAACTGTTTCCTCTGTCTGCTTTGAGCTTTTCAGTCAGGTCCTCAGTAGCAGGTACATAGCTCCCATCTCTTCAGGGACAAAACATAGGCAGGGAAGTACACTGTCCTCAGATGGCAGCAGCCTGGACAGAATTAGCCACCAGTGGGCACAAAATGGCATAGTACATTATTAAATTATCTGATCACCATATATTGTTTCTGTTTTAAATGCTTTATGAGTAGGTAGAAACTTACACAAGCAGTATGAAGTGTAGTAGTCTGCCTTAACAATCACCTCACCAAAATTTCTTGCTTTATGCTTTCTCAATAATTTGTGTCACCTACACTAATTCATAGTTCCAAGCAGAATGTAGCTGCTGCCAGATGCATCAGAGCTGTGGATTTCTGGAATTTTTACATATGCTAAAAAGCTAGTCTGCTGAAAATAAACCCAGGTTTTTCAGGTGTCCAATTCATGTAGTAAGGAGGATCTAATCCCCTGTTCTGTGCATTACAATCTGTATTTAGAATACCATTCTCCTCTGCTGAATCATTATTAAAATTAGTGGGAGACTCATAATGAAGATCAACAATACTTATTTTGCTCCTGTAATTGTGGGTTTTGTCACTGCAGAGAGTGCTTGGTGTGAAACGTGTAAATGCTCTTTTTTAAGCAAAACAGACACAAAATACATGTTTTTAGGTAACAGCTGCATCTTTACCATTTTCAAAGTCTGCCTGCAGACTCAGGAGCATGTGTTTCTAACCTTTATTCGCACTTGGAACACTTTGTGAGTGCAGTGGCTGGAAATTTTTCTCTCAATGAGGACTGAGGAACAAGGAGGCTGAATATGGCTTTATTTCATACCATATTGCTGTGCTGTTTCACAGACTAAAGGTATTTCAAGGGTGTATCCAATCTAGCAAGACCAAGGTTCTCAGCCCCATATAAAGTGAAAATAGGCTATTTATTAAGTAAACCAAATTGCTGAAGCAGGGGAGGATTTTCAATGAATTGAAGACTTGTTAAAGCAAGTGTAGGGCTTAAGAGCAATTACAAAGCTATGACTTAAAGACAGTGGACTCAGACAAAGCAACCATGTATTTGACCAGATTCTTGTATGAAAGCAGCATACTTTATTCCTGGGCCACAAAGAAGTCTGAAAAGTAGATGCATACAAATCTTTCCTTCATTCTGAGCTATGAAATACTGGACTTATGTATCTGTCTTTCTAATCTCAAAGAAACAGATACTGATTTTTATGATTTCTGGTTTTTACATGCTGCTTGCTGTTAGAAATTTTTTGATTCACAAATCTTATCTTATTACAAAATAGTAAAATGCCATGATAAATCTGGCTTATCTGGTGAATTTTTCCTTGAGAGTAATGCATATGCTGTTCATCCTGTGAAATCTCTGGGTCAGCAGAAGAATATCCACATACAAAATGGGGATGAGGTTAGATCATTGTCATAGAACATAAAATTAAAAAGCAAACTCTGGAGAAGGATTTACAAATGTAGGTTATATAGCAAACTTCACTGGCCCAAGGATGATGTTAAACATTGCAGGATGTGTGAACAAATCTAAAAGGAGAGCAAGAAACAGGAAGGCAGAAGACATGGGCTGCGAGGGTCAGGAAGGTTCTTGCAGGAGCAGAAAACTAACTAGTACCATCTGAGCAAAAATGAAGCAAAGTTTGTGAAGTAATGCAGAATGAAAAGAGTGTTTGAAAAAACAAATTATTTCCATAAGCAGCTGGATTGTCGGACCCTGATGACCTACTGTTCTCTCCTGCTTGGGTTTCCTCATGTCTAAAACCACTTCTGAGCCCTAACTCAAGCCTTCACAGAGTATGAAACAGTCCAGCCACTCATTCACAAGGCACACTCAGGAACTCCCTTTAAAACTTCTGCCTTGCTCTGAAAATGGTCAAGATATCCAAAAGTGACTGTGAAAGAGGGACTAAAAGTACATTGCAATGGTTTGATTTTTGTTAAGAAATCCAAATCTAAACAAAAAAGCTTGAATTAGAGAATTAAAGTATTTCTCTCAGGTATTGCAATTATTTCTGCACGGGCAAGAGGTTGGGCAATGCTTTAAATGCAGAGACCTAGAGGTGTGGCTCTGGTTAATTGCTAACGTGAAGAAAATACTAAGACTCTCCTCTATCATGCTTCCACCCCTCCCTGGTTTTTGCCTCGTATGTATTTCATATGGCCATTTGTTATTTTCTTTGCACACAAATCTCAGAGCACATAAGTTTTTATGAATGAGGTTCGAGTTTCAATACCTCTTTACTGACACCAGAATATCTGAATTGAATTAGAATTGCAGGTGGTTTTTTTCTATGGAGCTCAAAAAAAGTGCAGCATTCAGTCCTATGTGAAATGTGCTGAAATTAGTTATTTCAGAACATAAACAGAGCCATGGTTATCTGTTGGTTGTGACATGCATTAATTTTAAAGAGATTATGGTATTTAAGCACAGGTTTTGCTGAAAATGTAAACCTGTCGTTTTGGTTTTTTGCCAGTAACCACAGTGGGTTTAGTAGTTCTGTATTGTTCATTTCTTTTAACTGTTGCAAATATACTGGAACTCTGAACTGTGTTTAAAATCAGTCCTTCTAGTTTTAGCAGGTTTTACCCTTTTTTTTTTCATTATTTGTGGACAACAACAGCATAAAGTGAAAGTACAAATGTGATGGCAACTGTAAATAGCCATCCAGGAACAAGAGGAAGGAGAATCTGTATTTGTGTTTGCAGGAAAAGTCCTTGTGTCCACAGATAATCAGTGAGCTTTATGTTTCATCCTGTTCCCTCTCTCCAAAAATGCTCCTGTGCACACTTCAATAACATTGTTGCCATGGCATCTATCAAAACCCAGATATGCTCTTGCTTTTTGACGCAAGATGCATATTTTTATAAACAGGAGGCTTCGTTTTCACTTTTCACTGCTATGAGTAAGGGACTCTATCCATGTCTTCAGACAGGAGCAATATTTACTGAACACTCTGTCATTCTGGAGTATGTGCCATAATTGATTCTTATCAGTTCAATCCACAAAGAGCACTTGCTAAATTTTCTTTATTTGCCAGTTTGATTTTCATGGTACAGATTCTGCTGCATATAAGATGTTAACTGTACTTGACCACCCTTTAGAAAGGTGGGAAGCGTGTGGGGACTGTGGGGAAAGGAGAGTGGCTCATCAGCTGGTTTAGATTAAAGTCAGGGCACCACAGCAATATACACCAGCTGAGACAGAATGCTCTACAGCTTCTAAGGAGAAAACTTGAATTGATATATGTGC